TCAATGAGGAATGAAACTAAAAATAAAACGCATTCATAGAAACACACTTTTTTAGTGGTTTATCTCCATGTAAAAACTATGCCTAACCCACTCGTCAGTGCAAATGTTCACTAAGCATTTGCTTATTATAGCTTATGGAAAATTGTTTTTCCTCAAACTCATTTCAACCATATATTCTCTCAATAAAATAATTTTGAGCGTGCATCTATTTTTTCCTTTTTTTTTAACCACCCATTTCTTCAATTCACTTCAAATAAAGTCTCTCAAACAAACTCTAAATTTAAGAAATCTATGATAGAGTTACCACAGCTCTTTGTCTTTCATCCCTCACATGTAGAAAAACAACCCAAGAAATTCATTTATAAAATATAGAAGCTATGTCAATCTATGGTAGAAGACTCAATGACCAATATACTTAGGCATGTTTTTGGCTCCATTCCATGCTATTTGACCCTGTTTGATAGCCATATTTTGTAAAGAATGAGTTTTTGATTAGTAACTATTTGGTGATTGTATGGTTAGAAAAAAGAAAATATTTTCGGTTTACATGAAAGATATTTTGTTGTGAGAATGTGAGAGTTTGAAAATGAGTATGATAAAAAAGAGAGTTAAAATAATAATTGTCAAACAGAGGCTTAATTTGTGTCAGGCCCTAGGAAAAATAAATTATCAAAATTTTCCTCACCACTTGAGTGATATTAGACAAACTCAACCCTAGATTAAACATGCATGCTGAAGCGAACCCTGAATTGAACACCGTAGTCAAGTTATATAGCATTTATTAAGTTGATACTATGCATATGACGAGTTTTATTGGTTTAGATAACATAATATCATAACGCTCGGATAAATTGTTCACTTTAAACATATTAAATCTGAAATTTGTGAATGAGCTCAGCTTTTTCAATTATGACATAATTATAAGAACAAAAATTAACTATGTAACATCTCAAATATTTGCCTGGAAGAAATGAGCATGAGAATTTGAAACAGTCCAATAAATCAACCAATGAAGCTCATATTAACTAATTTGTTTCAATTAATCTTGAGTACAAATCAAACATCTTCATTATAGTAGTTTAATGACTAAATATAATTTTTTTCTTTAAAGAAAAAAAAGGGCCATGAAATTGATTGCTCGGTAAGGATTAGTTTATTACGACATGAAAATGCATGGGATTGAACCTTCTTTAATTAGTCAAGGTATTCCACCACCAGCTCCTCCACCAAATCCACTTCCAGATCTTGCACCCAATCCGCCTCCACCACCGCCTCAACCACCAAAACCTCATCCTCATCCTTGAGCACCATTTCCGAACTCAACACCAAATCCTCCTCCAGATTCAGAACTAGAACCATCCCCTGTTACTCCACCTCCACCCCCACCCAATCCTCCACCTTCTCCTTCAGAACCACTTCCAAACCCACCACCCAATCCTCTTCCAGAACCAGAACCACCTTCAGATCCTTCACCTCCACCTCCTCCTTGAGCACCATTTTCGAACCCACCACCCAATCCTTCTCCCGAACCGAAACCTCACTCCGTTCCTCCACCTCCACCGAACCCTCCACCTCCTCCTCCACCAAGCCCTCCACCTCGTAAATCCCAGTGATCAAAGAAGAATTTTTTCTCATCATTGAAAGAGCCCTCCATGCCAATACGCTTTCTTGCATTGGTGGTGCAAATGAAAACACCGAGAAGAACCAAGAGAACAAAATTGGAACTCATCTCAATTTGCAAGTAAAAGATAGATATTTGAATCTTGATTTTTGAGAATGTAGGACACCTAAAAGGGTTTATATAATGCTATTGATTCGTACTATAAACCACGTTTGAATTTTTAATGCAGCTTATAACTGTTTCTTTGAAAAGGAAACACTTCACCAAAACTTGATTACTCTGATTATCGGTTAAATGTTTTGTGCTTGAATTAATGAGTGAATTATTGGGGGTCTCTTTAACCTGGCAGTTGTTACATTTGTAGTGATTTGATTTATGTTTTTAGTTATTAATTAGTGCAACTTTATATGGTTACCTACGTTAGAGGCATATACACATGTTCAGTCTGCTTCCTCCTACACTGAACCCTCCACCACCACATCCACCAAGCCCTCAACCTCCTAAATCCCAGTGATCAAAGAAGAATTTTTTCTCATCGTTGAAAGAACCCTCGGTGCCAATAAGCTTTCTTGCATCGGTGCCGCAAATAAGAACACCTAGAAGAACTGAGAGAAAAAAATTGGAACTCATCTCAATTTGCAAGTAAAAGATTGGTATTGAATCTTGATTTGTGAGAAACTAAGAATGAAGGACACCTAAAAGGGTTTATATAATACTACTGATTCGAACCCTAAACCACGTTTGAATCGTTAATGCAGCTAACTCTTTCTTTGAAAATGAAACACTTCACCAAAACTTGATTACTCTGATTATCAGTTAAATGTTTTGTGCTTGAATTAATGAATGAGTTAGTGGGGGTCTCTTTAACCTGCAAGTTATTACATTTGTATTGATTCGATTTATGTTTTTAGTTATTAATTAGTGCAGCATTTTATGTTTACTTGCGTTAGGGGTATATACACATGTTCTCATATCTTTTTCGGCATTGTAATTCATTTCTACAGTACAATAATTTAGGTTTATTTGATTTGATTTCAAAAGTAGGTAAAAGATCCTGTTTTAACTAGGAAATTAATTATTATGATAAAAGTGCTGGTGCATCATGCTGGAAAGTAAGTTTATAAACTATTTTGTTCATAAATATTTATAAATAAGTGATGGATACTTGGGTACTGCTTCAGAGTTCAATTGAATGTGTGAATAAAAGTACACACGAGCAAAATATTGATGACATCTTCAATTTCGAATATTGAATACCTGTATATAGCTCGGTTGATTTCTATGTAAATTTCGACAGTTTCTAAATTTGTTTGTCATCTTCTTAAAAGGGCATATGATAATCTGTCGTTTATTGTTTTGATTTTATAGTATTCGATTGTAGGGTTAAAATGGAAGCCTTGAATCATTTTGAAATGGAAACTTTATATTGATATGTAATAGATAGAATATTGAGATCTTGTTTGATTCGACCAAAAATATATATTAAAATTTAAGTTAAAGTTAACAATAAATTTTAATCCTACATTTTTTAGGATCGACCATTTTTGAATCAAACACTCCATCAACCTCTACAAAAATCTAGCAAAAAATCTAATTTTTATCTAAAACGAAGAGAGATTAAATATATAAATGCCACGTACGGCTGTTATGGCATTATGCCTATGGTTGTTGTCACATTATATCTCAACTTATTTCCTATCATGAAAAATTACTAAACGAATCTTATTTACGAATTTGGAGTATTTCTATGCTATGAATTAAGAATTACATTAAGGAGTTGCTTGACAAAGCTTTTTGATAAAAATTCTAACAAATTTTTATAAAAAATGATGAAATATGTGGTTGAAAAGGATAAAAATTATGAATATCATGAAATGTGTCATTACATTTTGATTAACGTTTTTGTAACTTTAAATATCCTAACAACCATAAATATAAAAAGAGATTAAAAAATTAATATCACTTGGAAAGAAATTTAAGTTAATTTCCCCTCTATGTCTTTAATGAGTCTCCGACATAATAAATATAATTTCAAGGGCTGATTATTCAATTTACATGGGCTCAACTGAAAAAAATAAAAATAAAAAAGGAAACCTTATCCGCCTCTGTTGGATAACTTAATAAAAAAAAATCTGAAAATTCTGTGTGGTCAACTGACCCCACATGACCCCATGTGGGTTCGTCCTTGTCTCCACTTCCTTTGTTCTTTTAATTTACCCTATATATTATGAATTTTACTACTTTTCTTGTATTTAATTACTAAGCCTCACTATTCATTCAAGTAACTCAAAAGCATGCAAAGAACTCCAACTAACATAAAGCATAAAATGATTTTTATTTTTTTATTTTTTTTGCTTATAAGTCATTTTGATAGTTACTTGATTATTTTACCTATTAAAGATGTTTTTCGTTCTACTTAGTGCTATATGATTAGTGCCATAAGGAAAATAAAAATATGAAATTGTTACATACCAAAAGTCTTATGTGACGCAATTTGACTCCAAATTGAGCATGGGAGTCAAGTTGGATATAACTTAGTAATTTGGTAATAAGGCATCTATTGTATGAGTTTATTCACTTAGAAAATATGATAACTAAATTGCTCAAGCCCCTAATTGGCCCCCATTTCCTAAAACTCAATTTTCTTCAAATTTTGTTTAAATATACGTTTTGTGGGATCCACAACTTTTATCAATTCTTCGACCAGATGACATTTTATCATCATTTTAAAAATATTAAAATTAAAATTTATTTTGTGTGCACTATAACTTGTTTTAGAATTGGTGACAAAATTATTAGAATAAAACAAAATTAAACTTTTAACATATAAAGATTTGCATGGAATAAGTAAAGCATGAGAAAAGGAAAGAGGCTCATAATTAATAAACCAGACGAAGCTTACAAATATGTTTGAGTAATTTATTGCAAATCAAACATTTGTATTCTAGTAGTTTAATAGCTCTAGAATATTTTTTTTAGTTGAGCAATTAAAATTATCACTAGATATGAAATGGAAATGCATGGGATTAAAACTTCTTTACTCAATGTCTCCTATTGTGTCTCCAACTCCTTTACCAAGTCTACCTCCAGCTCCTTCACCAGATCCTCCACCCAATCCTTTTCCACCACCACCGAAACCTCCTCTCCCTCCTCTTTCAGCACCACCTCCTATTCCACCACCAACTCCTTCACCAAATCCACCATCCAATCTACCCCTACCATCACCAAAACCTCCTCCTCCTCCGACATAACCACCTCCAAACCTCCCACCAAATCCTTCTTCAAAACTAGACCCAACCTCTATTCCCCCACCATCAAACCCTCCACCTCCACCAAGCCCTCCACCTCCTAATTACCAATGATTGAAGTATAATTTTTTATCATTGAGAGAATCCTCTATGCCAACTAGCTTTCTTGTAGTAGCAGTGCAAATAAGAACACCAAGAAGAATGCTTGAATAGGTTTCGAGTCTTGATTGATGAGAATCAAGGACACCAAAAAGGGATTATATAATGATTGTGTTGGGCGCGAAAACTCCAATAACATACATTGATTCCAAACTGGATTTTAAGGAACAAGATTTAATGACAATATTGAAGTATACTAGATCACACACCAAAAAACAAGATTAAATTTATAAAAGAGGAACAAAGAAAATTAGCGCAGAGGAAACGATGTTTTTATTGAACAATATGGAGAATACAAGCCTATTTAGCTAATTGTTACAATTAAAATTGAAAAGAGGTGCCTCTAATTTATAGGCCATAACCAAAAACCTAGTGGAGTCATAAAAGGTAAGAAAATCTAGTCCAATTAGGAGAAAATGTGTAAAACGAGAAAAAATCCGCGCGACACCAAAAAATGAACAATGTGGATTCTTTTTCCTTATCTTTCATGGTTCCACTTTGCTTCTTTTTCCAAGCAAAGCCAAACATGCTAATAAAAGAATTCTAACCTAATTAGAGTCATTAAACTTAACAATCTCCACCTTGACTCCAATTCCGGTACAACGTACAAAATTCCTAAATTTCAAATCCGTCTGCATTGAAATGAATTGGCTGAATCTCCTCTACACAGTAACCACTCCATATAAACCAAACACTCGTCCTCTGCCCGGTGTCCACAACCGACACCCGAAGGCAATTCCCCAGGTTCCCAATTCCACCAAGGAATTAATATTGATCACACAGGGCCGAAGCACAACATGTAGCAAGAACCAAACTAGATGCTTGATCAGAAGGCCCCTTGCTGGAACTGTCGCCTTCAACATCCCTAGAAGCATCCTAGACATTGCTGACATCCTGGTACCTACGCTTGATGAGTCCTATCCTAGCAACTGAGCACGGTGTATCCACTGAAATTGGTGGGAAAGTGAAATCACCAACGCTTTCCCTAGCAGTGTTATGAATCGACTCATAGCCCAACACAAGAGGCACTATACCAAACTGAACTTTCACCACGGTACTAAACTTGTCCAAATGCCTCCTCTTAATTGGTTCTACACTCCCTTGCAAAATGTACAACTGGGATCTTTTCCGTCCCTCCAGTACAACTCGGACTCCCTTTCGGACCTTCAAAACTTCACCTCCTCCAGAGAATTTATACCCTTTTGAATCTAGGGTGTTTTGCAAAATGAGATTCCTTTTTAGGTCAGGAACATGTCGAACCTGATCAATTGTTCTAAATGTTCCATCCCGCAGCCTCAATCTGACTCGACCAACCCTAGCAATACGGCAAGATGGTTGTTTCCCATTACAACTTCACGTTGCTGAACTGCCTCATATGTCTGAAATAAATTCATATCGGAACACATATGGTGTGAACATGCTGAATCAAGAATCCACTCCTCATTAGGCCTAGACTCTACATCAGATACTACGGTTAACATCACCTCTTCGCTACCTGAACAATTCTCAACTACATTGGTTTTGTCGGAATTCAAAGGTTGCACCCCCATGATTTACAGCTAAACCACCTTTAGCCTGCAATATATCGCAATCCTTCCTAATATGTCCCTTCCTTTTGCAGTAGTAACAGGTCACATTGCTAAATCTAACTCTCGATCTGTCCCTTTGTCGACCATCTTGAGATACAAGAGCTTCTCCATCCCTTGATGTAGCTCCAAACAAATGCTTCATTTTCTCCTTTGAGTGCAAAGTATCATAGACATCTTCTATAGTCAAAGTATCTCAACTATACAAGATAGTATCCCGAAACGATGCATAAGATCCAGCAGTGAACACAACAGGATCAAGGCAAGATCCTCTTCATCGTACTTAACCTCCAATGTTTGTAGATCTGCAACTATTTCCTTGAACATGACAATGTGGTCTTCCAACGACCCTCCTTCCACTATGCGATGGGAATACAACTTCAGCTTAAAAGCCAGTTTACTAGTAAAACTTTTATTCATACATAACTGCTCTAGTCCCAACCACAAAGCAGCAATCATTTTCTACTTTAAGACATCCTACAGAATATTGTTGGATAAATGAAGATGAATCAACGACACAGCCTTCCGATCCTTCCATTGTTTCTCCTCTGTTGTCCAATCAGCTGGCATCTTCTCAAAACCCAGCAACGCATCGTCCAAATCCAACTGTGTCACAAAGAAAATCTTGTATTACGATCTAATTGCGGAATATCATACTTCAACCCAGCCATCCCGAAAAAATCTCAACCAATCTACGAAAAGAACCAAGTTTTGATACCACCTGTTGGGCGTGAAAACTCCAATAACACACATTGATGCCAAACTGGATTTTAAGGAACGAGATTTAATAACAATATTGAAATATACTAGATCACACACCGAAAAACAAAATTAAATTTGTAAAAGAGGCACAAAAAAAATTAACACAGAGGAAACAATGTTTTTATTGAGTAATAAGGAGAATACAAGCCTATTTAGCTAACTGTTATAATTAAAATTGAAAAGAGGCGCCTCTAATTTATAAGCCATGACCACAAACCTAGTGGAGTCATAAAAGGTAAGAAAATCTAGTCCAATTAGGAGAAAACGCGTAAAAGGAGAAAAAATCCATGCGACGCCAAAAAACAAACCATGCGGATTCTGTTTCCCTCTCTTTCATGGTTCCATTTTGATTCTTTTTCCAAGCAAAGTCAAACACGCCAATACAAGAATTCTAACCTAATTAGAGTCATTAAACTCAACATGTTGAATATCAGTTATTTGCATTGAAGTTTAATGCTTGAATTAATATGTGAGTTACTGCTTTAATTTATGTTTTAGTTATTAATTAGTGAATCAGTGGGATAATTAATGCAATAATGCATGTTTATTTACGTTATATTAGTGGTAATATGAATTTTACTACTTTGCTTATATTTAATTAATTGCAATGTTTCATTTACTCATTCAAGCAATTCACTAAGCATGCAAATAGGAGCTCCAAGTAAATGAAGCACAAAATGGAAGACTAACTATTTCATTCTCTTTAACCTTTATTATTTTCAACGGATCATGAATTAAAGGGGTTTATTTTTTTATATTATTATTATTATTATTATCATCGTCGTCGTCGTCGTTGTCATCATCTTCATCATCATCATCATCATCATCATCATCATCATCATTATTATTCCTTATATCTAGCTCCTATTTTGTTACAGATTCTTCAAAACTAAGATTTTTGAACTCGTTTTTACTACAATTCTCTCAATAAAATAATTTATGAGTTGATTCACAAATTTTTGGTAATTTTTAAACATAAATTCTAAAAAAATTACATTTGACAAAATATGTTCTCGACAAATATACATCAAAGAGACTCGTAATAAATTCCAATGTCTCATTTATTCAACATGCAGTACGAATAACATGAATGAAGAAATGTTTAAATACCAATTCTTTGAGGGGGAAAATATTTTTCTACTCATACGTAAATGTTTTAACTTTTAAGCTTGTTTACTCTATTTTCATTGTTTTTACATACAATAGTAGTTAGTACGCACGTTTTTTTTAATTACTAATGCCATTTTTTAAAATAATAGAGGTAATTGATATTGTTAAAGGGAAATTTACAATTGCGTATATGCATATAAAAGTTTTTATGAAATTATATATAAATGTGAAAATGTTGAATAAACTAAAATGTAATGATATGATTACAATAATACATTTTCGTACAAAATATTTTTTTTAGAGTGATCGAATGCCCCAATTAATATATTAATGCAACCTTTAGCACATTTGTTACTTCATCAATACATTAATGCAACCTTTCAATTTGTAACCTCAAATAAATAATAATCCAATAGATGGATTATAATGTAAATAATGAAGATTAATAATAGCTTTGTTGATAAAAATAAAAATAAAAATTGCTTTGTTAATGAAAATTAAAAACTCAACGGATGAATTATAATAGAGATCATGAAGATTATTAAGGGTTTTGTTGATTAAAAATAAAAAATTACTTTGATGATGGAAAATAAAATTTGTAAGAACAAAATACTCAATTGAATGATAAGTCACTAAATTTTCATTGATTTTTTTTTAAATAATAATTGAATGTCAGTTTCACTCCTTATATTAATTCCAACCCAAATGATAAATATCAATTAAATATTTCACCACTTATATTCATTCTAAATCAAATGATAAATATTAATTAAATTAGTAATAAGGTTTTATTGATGAAAACTAAAAATTGTAAAGAAAAACAATCAATTGAATGTTAGTCGTTGAATTTCTGTGTGTAATTTCTTTTTTATTTATGGAACGTCTTCATTAATATATTAATGCAACCTTTAAAATATTTGTAACCTCATTTAAATAAAACTTAATGGATGAATTATAATGTAAAGCATGAAGATTAAAAATTGCTCTCTTGATGAAAAATAAAAATTCATTGCATGAATTATAATGTAAATCATGAAAATTAATAAGGGTTTTGTTGATGAAAAATAAAAATTGCAAGAACAAAATAGTCAATTGAATGGTAAGTCACTGACTTTCTTTCTTCTTTTTTTTTTTTTTTAATAATTGAATGTTAATTTCACTCCTTATATTAATTCCAATCCAAAATGATAAATATCAATTAAATATTTC